GTTATGGGTGTGACACTGGAGAGCTAAGCTCCTTTAATGAAAAGGTGACCTGTAAAGAATATTCCTGAAGATCCATAAATTAGACTGTAAATAAAAAACACCCCCAAAGGCATAAAATCAAACATAAAGTGATGGGCATCAATTATTTTATTGAACAAAAAACCTTATTTTTGTATGCAAAGTCATACAAAAACTATATCCATTTATTATGGCTGCTATAACAAATAACCACAAACTTGATTGCTTAAAATATTACACGTTTATTCTGATTTATTCTTATAGGTCTGGATGTCAGAAACCCAAAATGTTTCACTGGGATGAAATCAAGGTATTAATAGAGATTTATTCTCTATGGAGGCTCTAGAGAAGAATCTGTTTTCTTTTTTTTTTTTTAATTGTAAAATACATATAACATACAGTTTACCATTTTAACCATTTTAAGTGTATGATTCAGTGGCATTCTCTTTCACATTGTCATGCAAATATCATCACCACCCATCTCCAGAACTCTTTTCATCTTCCCAAACTGAAACTCTGTACCCTTTCAACAATAACGGCCTTCTCTCTTCCTACTCCCCACCCTCTGGCAACCACTATTCTACTTTCTGTCTCCAGATTTGATTGCTCTAATACTTCATATAAAAGAATCATACAATACTTGTCCTTTGGTGACTCACTTATTTCACTTAGCTTTAGATTCATGTTTTAGCATGTGTCAGAACTTCCTTCCTTGAAGGCTGAATAATATTCCAAAGTATGCATTTACTATGTTTTTCATCCATTGATGGACACTTGGGTTGCTTGCACCTTTTGGCTGTAGAGAACAATGCTGTGATAAACATGGATGTACAAATATCTCTTTGAGGCCCTGCTTTCAATTCATTTGAGTATCTACCTAGAAGTAGGATTTCTGGATCATACAGGAGAATCTGTATTCCTGCTCATTTCACTTTCATCTTCATGAGCTGCTCTGCTCTACTTGCATTCCTTGGCTCATGGTCCCTTCCTTCCTCTTCTGAGCCAGCATCTTTCTTCAGTGGTCCCTTTTCCTCTCCTGTCTCAAATTTCCCTCCGTCTCCCTCTTATAAAGATACTTGTGATTGCATTTAGGGCCATCTGATAATTAAGGATAATCTCCCTAACTCAAAATCATTAATTTAATCACATGGGCAAAGTCTTTTCTGCAATATTAGGTGACATTCATGGGTTCTGAGAGAGATTAGGACCTGCATGTCTCTGGGGACCACTACTTACCCCTACACAAGCTAAGAGAAAAATAAAAGGAATACAGAAACATCAGTAAGAGAAAAGCCTATACAATCCCACTGTGCCTAGAGATCATCACAAGAAATAGTCTGGGACAAATTCTCATAGGTTTCTTCCCATGCATATACTAACAACTGTCTTTCTTTAGTTTCCTTTTCTTTTATTAAAAAAATCAAAAGTGGGATAACATGCTACACAGCTCAGTGACTTGTTTCTTGTATTTAATAATGTATTAAAGCAAGCTCTTTTAAGAGTGAACAGATTTACTTTCATGTTACTATCTTCTTTGAAGTAAAAATAGCAACTTTCCAGTAAAGCAAGTGACTTTTAGAAAAATTCTATAATCTTCTAGCAATGTCAATGTTAACTTTAATTCATAACAGGGAACAGAGATTTTGAGTCAAAATAAGGGTAGAGGTTGTATTTTAGGTAAATTAGAGAAAAGGGCACTTAGTTATACATAATATATGGATGCAGCATGATGTATCTAAAGTCTAAATTGCATTAAGTGTGGCAGGTTAATATGCCGGTTAGTGTTTCCATGGTATCACTTTCAATGAAGTATTTGGTGTTGTAGGTGGGAGAGATCAAGATACTTGGGGTATAATCCTGGCTCTGCTATCAACTAGATACTAGGCAAACTTTAGGCAAACCATGTCCAATCTCTGGAGCTTGGTATCCTCCTCTTTGAAGAAAGTGGGTTGGACTGGAAGCTCTAAGCTCCATTCTGCACTTTGGGAAGAGTACTATTCTGGCAGGCTGGAGTTTTGAATACCAAACCTTTTACTAACTTTTGCTATGTGACCTTGAGGCAAGACACTCAGCTCTGATTGGGCTTCAGGTTATTCATCTATAAAATGAGCAGACTAGACTGAAAAAGATCTAGATCTTTTCTAGCTCTCACATTCTAGGATAGTGAGTCTCAAACTTGAATGTGCCTAGAATCACTTTGAGGTCTTGTTAAAATCCAGACTCAGATCAGCAGGTCTGGGCTGGAGGCGGAGTTTTTCATTTCTAGTAAATTCCCAAGTAAGGCTGATGCTGATCGAGAGACCACACTTTGAATAAAAAGGTATCTGAATTTTGAACTTTCAAGAAACTTTGTTAGAGACATGCAAATGGGCGAAAAAGAATACTGGCTGTCCCTTGGGTGGAGTGCTGGTTGGGAGCTGATTCTATAGGGGTGTGCCCCTTTGCTTGCCTTCCTACGGATTAGCTATTGCTCAGCTCTGTAAGAACAGAAGCTAAGATGTAGAATAGAGATACAGTAGCCCTCTTAATCCACAGTTTGGCTTTTCCTTAGCTTTGTGAGGCCCAAAAATATTAAATGAAAAATTCCAGCCATAAATAATTTGTAAGTTTTAAGTTGTGAGCCCTCTGAGTGGCTTGATGAATTTTCATGCCAGCCTGCCTGGGATGTGAACCATTGTGAATTATCCTTCTGTTCAGCATATCCATGCTGACTCAGCAGCTGGGATATCAGATCAGAAGAAGAAGGGTGAGTACTGTATAATAAAATATTTTCAGAAAGACTACATCTACCTTTTATTACAGTATATTGTTATAATTATTCTATTTCATTAGCTACTATTGATCTCTTACTGTGCTCATGTATAAAAATTTTATCATAGGTATATATGCACACAACCCCCCCCCCCATAGTATATACAGGGTTCAGTACTATCTGCAGTTTCAGGGACCCACTGGGGATCTTGGAACATATAACCTGAGGATAAAGGGG